TGAAAATTGTTTGCATTAGAAAAAAATGATATTAATCCCATAGTGACCGCCTTAGATAATTGAGGATGTTAGGAAAAACAAACAATGACAACAAAAATCCTACTGTTATTAATTTCTGGTGTTACAGTTCCTTTACTGCTTGCATAGAAATATTGGACTTGGTATGATATCTACTTTTGATTAAAATCACAGCAATATAATCTATGTACCTCAAGGCACCTGGACTGATGGAGCTGCTGTGAGCAAGTCATGATAATGAAATTCCCTTAGGATTATTGTGTTCATTGTGAGCCACAAACCTTAAGACTAGCTTAGGAAATTGTGCCACTGGGAGAAAATGTTGCTGGTACTTTATATGGGATTCACAGTGCAATATACTTTAGAATCACATTTTTCTGTAGTAATTTTCCTCTCGTCTTCTGAGTCATCTTCTGCCACATTTCTTATCAGGTGACCAGAGTTCACCTAGGAGGAATAAACTCACTGTCTTGTTCAAGCTTTTCTACCTCAGCAGTTTTATCAGCTCCTGGTGACTCAGCATAACCTTTAGTATCCAGATACGCTAGTGGTAAATAAATGAATGTAATCCATTAGAACATATAAGAGATTCTGCTACCTTGGAAAAGAATTGAGAAATATTTTGTAATATTCTTTCTATTCTAAACTTCTTTTTTTCTAAGACACTTGAGCAGAGGCTACCTTTGTACACATTTATTTGTATAATGAAAGATCTATCCAGTGGCACCTAAAATGACATTCAGCAGAGAGCACTGTTACCATTTTCAATAACTGATACTTAACTACTGCTCACACTTTTCTATCTCTATTTTCATTCTTGCTGTAGAATACTGTTCTGTGCTGTAAAATCAGTTCTGAACATGATGTGATTAACCTTAGGGCCTCCCCATCCCTTCATTGCAAAGCCCACCTTGTACATGGCCTATGCTTTCTATTCATGTTCACCATCTGATTTCCATATCATCCCGCTCACCCTCATGAGCCGCTATTAGCATAACAGAGCTTTAGTGTGACATTGATTGAAGCAAGCACTTGCTGAATGCAGTATCAGAGCATAATTTGCCAGAAATCAAATCTAATTTTCTACGTACTTCTAAAATTTATTTAAAAAAAAAGAAAAAAAAGAGGAAGAGTGCACTCATTCTATAGTCTTAATTGTTCTTTTTTTTTTTCTTCATGTTTTTGCCCGGTGCCCTGGAATCAAAGCAGTACATTTCCTTTTAGAGCCATTGTCTTTGACTTTCAGATGACAATTAAACAAGCTCTTCCACTGTTTATTCCAATCCAACTAATGTTACATCTGAAACAGTGAAGGGTAATAGTTTGATAGGCACAACACTTCGTTTCCTGCTTCCTAACAGTTTTTTTTCAACAGATTCTTCTAATCACTTTAATGCTTAGATTGAATTAAGCATTAAAGTAGATCATAATTCTTTAACAGCCGAAGCATATCGAGCCTGCTGTTATTAATCTAACTGTATCTTTTCAGACTTCTAAAATGTTCCTCCTTTGAGAGGAGCAATAATGACATGAATAAGGTTTTTGCCAATGTTCTACTGATGTTGAACTTTGAGAGAGTCATGTTTTTAGTTAACCTTTCTGCAAAATATGAGTAATAATATTTATCTACCTTATAAACAGCATCTGTGTATGTAGGTAATGAACTCTCTTTTTAGGAAAACTGAAGTTCTTATTCTGTAATCAAAGCCTTGCTGTCACTGAATGGGATCACATTGCATTCTCTGGAATTAATGGTAGTCTCACTGATTTGGTAGTTGTACTTGACCAAAATTTATCCTACAAGTATTAACTGTTACTTTTGGTTGTCAATTCTCATTACTCAGCTGGAATTTGGTAGATAAAATTGATGAAAACATGCTGTAACGTCATTTTTATATGTGTGTAAACAGAACTATAGCTGAAAATGATGGCAAGTTGAAGCAAATGGGGTTTCTTTCATTGCAGAGCTTCTTTGAATGAATAAAAAATGTATATGAAGTTTTAGTTTTCCAAAAATGTTTTTTTTTTTCATACTCCTTAAAATTATACTATTAAATAGTTTGACTGGAGGGACTGGTTTTATGTTCTAATTAATGCAAAAACCAATAAAAGCGAGTTTTTTCTTGAGATTAGGAGATTATATTTAGTTTAACGCTCTGGTTCATTTAGTTTTGTAGTGAATTTCAAGTAATTTCTTCTTCAGAGAAAAGCTAGAGAACAGATTTGTACATAATCATATACCATTGTCTACTGGAGCCTGCATAGATTTAGAAAATCTAAACCTGTTGCTCTGAGGCAGCATCTGATGTTCACATAGAATGATAAATGCCAGAGGGGATTTGGTGTGTGACAGGGAGAGAGCAGAGCAATAAGGTCAACCTACATGAATTGGATTACCCAGACTGAGACACCACCTTAATTCCTGCTTCTTTTCAATGTCTCTTTTTGCAAAATAAAGGATTATTTTTCTGCCCTTAAGAAAATGAGGGATGTTCGGAATTAGGAGTAGGTCCAACTGTGGATTGAACTAGTAAGTTTGCCTCTTGTTGTGCTTTCACTAAGATACCTGAATTTGGTCCTTGGAAAGTCTACTATAACAAAAAATCCTGTTAAGTACATGCACTCAGAGCTTTGAATTATTGACTTACTGTACAGCCTTATGTGTGAGGATGTTTCAGATAAACATTTAAACTTATCTATCTGCATTTATTTGGTTATATGATTTGAAAGATAAGCTCATGGAAAGGCCGTGCCCTTCTTCCTTCTGTTGTGATGTCTCAGAGCACTGTCTGTCTCACTTAGCACCAGTGGACCAGGGCTGCCTGTGAAGTGATCTTAGGCATGATATGTGGAGATGAACTCCTGACACCATGTTTTTAGCCTCAATAGGAAGATTATGATCTTGAGTCCATCTATAATGTTGCACTGACTCATGCATAGTTCCTGTTTAGTGAAGAAGTTAGAAGTTTTCTGCTCTCCACTCTGAGATTGCTATTGATTCTATGTTAATATCCTGGGAAATGAACTTCTGTGGCTGACCAGCAAACACCAAAACAATTAGTGACCTTTGTTAACTTGTTGATCAGAACTGTAGAGATACCTTAGTGTAAGGTATGCATTCAGGAATGGAGTTTTCTAATTCATAACTAAAAAATCTTTCTCTCCCTTCCCATATGATTGAATGAACAAACACACATACTGTTTACTATATTACTGCTTTCCAACATCTGAAAGGATTGCATACAGATATGCTAGATAAAACAAGGTGAGGGAAAAAATAGGAGTCCAGGGCTGTAGAAGTAGAACAAGCTGATTTTGGATCCTAGAATATTCAGAGCAACACCTATGCACTTATAGCAGCCTCAGAGTATAGGGGTATAAATGGACAGCAGCAGGGTACCTACCCCTTCAGAAGACTGATGCTTTCTGAGGCCCTAGGAAGGGGCAGACACTTCTCTCTCCAGAAAGTCCAAAACTTGTGCTCAGGAGTGTGAGATGGAAGGAAGACTCCTTTTGTAGTTCTCTCCTTCTGCCTTCTAAATTAACAGTAGTGCATGTTTATTAAGGGCTTCACAGTTCTTGTTTTAAGAGTATATTATACCAGTGCTATTGACTGCATCACATAAGTACAAAGTGTATTTAAAAAAAAAAAAATCAGATCTGCATACATTTCTGTGCATTTAGCAGATCTGCATCTGTGCTGTCAGCAGGTGTAATCGGAAGCTGAGTCTTGATTGCTCTTCATGTCTAATTAAATAGTTTGTAATTATAATGGTGAAAATATGGTTTTCTAAAACACTGAAATTCTGTTTACCTAAAAGCTTAGTAGTTCCTTAAACCACCTCTCTCCACAGCCACCAGAGCAATAGTGGAATGGAAAAAAATGCACCTCTTTAACTCTTTTTCCCCTTTCTTCAGCCTATTGGAAAAATCAGCAAGTTTTTTGGTAAGAACATACGGAGATGCTGATTACATTTTTAATTTATCTTGTATATCCAATTCCATTGAGCTATAGTGTTGAACCAAGGCTGAGAGGTTTGCGTCAGAAAATTACTTTGCCACATGATGTTAAGTTTTTCACTCTGATCTTCCATCACTGCTTCTTCCCCACTTTTCTTCTGCACATTAAAATCTTTTTTCACCCATCATGCTCCCACCAGGCATCAACTCACTGTTCTCCATTAGCATCCCCAGATAAGTCAAAACACATCTCCTTTTTCAAAATTGTTCACTTTGGAATGCTATTAATGCTATCTTGCTATCTTTGAACACAAAGCCAATCCTGATTCTTCTTTCATGTTTTAACTCCAACTTATCCTTTTCCTTTCTATCTTCCTGAGCGTGAGCTCCTGGAATACGTTTCTTCTTACTCACTGCTCTCCAGCCCACTAACTCTTCAACTCTTGCTTCTTTCTTGTCTTTTCACAAGCTAAAATCTCCTAAGACTGTGATGCTTTAGCAAACTTCCTTTTCACACCAAGTCCTTCTTTCCACTCCCTTCTTAAGTGCACTGTCCCTAAGAGAAGCAGAGGGAGTGCTTAAACTTCTATTTTTCTGCTATCATCCAGACCTTCCTCTCCTTTCTCAATCATTTTTGAAAAGCTAGAGGATCAGAATGAAAAAAGTAGTCTATATGTTCTGATTTATCCTGTGCAACATGTGATGGCTCCAGCAGAGTGATAAGCTGTGTGTCGTGTATATTGTGTTGATGATACTTGTTCAGATGGAAGGTAGAATACATCCAGACCAGCATCATAAACACTGTTGAGCCTTAGCATTTATTGTTGTTTGTTGTAGAGTTTATGCTAATGTTTATGGTTCTAATGTTGCTTTTTTATTATTAATGTATTTAGCAAATAGATGTATTAATTCTGTCTAGTATATCTGGTGTTCCATATTGTTGTCTTTTTCCTTAGATCTACCTCGTCTTCCCTTTGCAAAATATCCTGAATTTGCACTATGTTTTTTCTCTTACATTATAGCTCCCCCACAGTTTGTGGTGAGACCACGAGATCAGATTGTAGCCCAGGGTCGAACGGTGACTTTTCCTTGTGAAACTAAAGGAAATCCCCAGCCAGCTGTTTTTTGGCAAAAAGAAGGAAGTCAGGTAAGATATAAGTACCCTATGAATTTTTCAAGCCTTTCAGAAAAGTTATATATAGATTTTTTTTTAAGAAAGATAGCTTTCAAAAGAATTTGTCTTTAAAACAGCTACTATCTTCTACCAACATTTTGTTGCTGTTTTGTTTTAATATTAGCATTGTGAAGAGCACAAAGTCCATTTAAGTGGGTAAAATTTGCGGTAAGTATCATAGAATCATAGAATCACAAAGTTGGAAACGACCTATAAGATCATCTAGTCCAACTGTCTTCACACTACCACTGCTACCACAAGCTACTAAACCATATCTCGCAGCTCCTCATCCAGACGCCTGTTGAACACTGCCAGGGATAGCAACTCCACCACCTCCCCTGGCAGGCCATTCCAGTGCCTGACCACTCTCTGAGAGAGAAAGTTCTTCCTCATGTCTAACCTAAACCTCTTCTGATACAACTTGCGGCCATTTCCCCGGGTCCTATTCGTTGCCTGGGAGACGAGGCCAAACCCCTCTTCACCACAACCTCCCTTCAGGAAGTTATAGAGTGATGAGGTCTCCTCTGAGCCTCCTCTTCTCCAGACTAAACAATCCCAGCTCCCTCAACTGCTCCTCATAAGACTTGTGCTCCATACCCCTCACCAGTTTTGTTGCCCTTCTTTGGACACACTCCAGTGCCTCAATGTCTTTCCTGTAGTGAGGGGGCCAAAACTGAACAAATACTCGAGGTGCGGCCTCACCAGTGCCGAATACAGGGGGATGATCACCTCCCTGTTCCTGCTGGCCACACTATTTCTAATGCAGGCTAGGATGACACTGACCCTTTTGGCCACCTGGGCACACTGTCAGCTCATGTTCAGCTGAGCATCAACCAACACCCCCAGGTCCCTTTCCTCTTCACAATCATCCAGCCACTCATCCCCAAGCCTATAGTGCTGCATGGCGCTGTTGTGGACAAAGTGCAGGACCTGGCACTTGGCCTTGTTGAACCTCATTCCATTCACTCCAGCCCAGCGATCCAGCTTATCTAAGTCCCTCTGAAGGGCCTCCCTACCCTCAGGCAGATCAATACCACCTCCCAACTTGGTGTCATCTGCAAACTTACTGAGGGTACACTCAATCCCCTCGTCTAGGTCATCAGTAGAGATATTGAACAAGATAGGCCCCAGTACTGACCCCTGGGGGACACCGCTTGAAACAGGTCGCCAGCTGGACTTCACTCCATTAACCACTACCCGTTGAGCATGGCCCTCTAGCCAGTTTCTTACCCAAAGGAGTGTGTACCTGTCCAGGCCATGGGCAGCCAGTTTCCCCAGTAGAAGCCTGTGAGAGAACATGTCAAAGGCTTTTCTGAAGTCTAGGTAGACTACATCAACAGCCTTTCCCTCATCTACCAGTCTGGTCACTCAGTCATAGAAGGAGATGAGGTTGGTCAAGCACGACCTGCCTTTCATGAACCCGTGCTGGCTGGGCCTGATCCCCTGGACACCACGCACATGCCATGCGATCTCACCCATGATGATTTGCTCCATTACTTTCCCTGATACCGAGGTCAGGCTGACAGGCCTATAGTTCCCTGGATCCTCCTTATGGCCCTTCTTGAAGATGGGAGTCACAAATCATGCAAAGATATAAAAAGCAATAGTATGTATCTTAAATACTTCATTCTGAAGCACCCAACAAACAGGTGGGTGAGACAAACATACCAAATAAAGAGATATGACTCAACTTTTAAGTAATCAGTGCCAGTAATTACAATTCACAGCTTGTCTAGACATGATGAAGTAGATACATAGCTAGCAAACTCATTTGCATTGGCATATTCTCACAGTACATCCAGATATGGTTTCAAACGCTCAACTTTTTTTTCTGTAGAATTATCTTACGGTATTTCTGAATGTTTGTTTTTTTTTTTTTTTTTGGGAAATATTTTCCTGAATCCTTTCGTTGTGTGAAAGCAAAATTTCTGATGTTGTTAACGGGGTTGCAATCAGCCAATTCTATCTTGCATAGCTTGATGTTTGAATGCAACATATTTTTTGCTGCCTTTGTTGCACTGACAGAACAAAAGTAAAACATTCTCACTTTTAACGTGCAGTTAGTATGTTAACTTTGAACATTGTAAACTATATGCCAGATTGCCCTTTTTTACCTGAGGAAAGATTGGAAGGGATAGATGAACATTCAAGAACAGTGCCTTCTGCAACTTTGTGATGGAGCCTGTCATGACTACATCTGTCTGCGTAGCTATACTGTGTGTCCTTTTCTATTTGATCTATAAGTCTTTTCAAAGCCCCATGCTCCTTTTTCCCATACAGCAAGATGTGGATTAACTAAGTATCCACCTTGTGCTGTGCAGTGCAGCTGTGCCTCTAACCTGGAGGCACTGTGTAACAGCTCAAAGTGTGAGTTATGAACCTAACCACCTATTTCCAACTTTGAAACATCTGCTTGTTTCATCTTGTTTCATCTGACATTTATCAGGTCAGATAACTGGCCAGAATGACAAGACTAAAGCTAACAACATTTGGTGCACTGTTGCATTTACAAAGGTGCAGTGGTTTTACCTTACGAGTGTAAGCTTGTATGAGTGTAAGCTTAGTCTTCAATGTATTTCTTTGTAAATAATAATTACAAAACTTTAGATCTAACCTCTATGGATCACATTCTGGAAAAGCATGATATTGTGTGTTTCAATCAAGGGGAAAATAAAATATCATCTTGAAATTACGGTGGAAAGTACTGATGTGCTAGCAAACATTTCAAAACACTGTCTTGTACAGAATTTTAATAACATGGTAATGTTTATATCAAGTGAGCTTATAGTGTCGCACTTGAATCTAATAGAGTGGACATCCATCATGCTGTAATAAAGAGAAGAACTTCTAATTAAAGTAGAACATCATTTGCAGGATTAAAGTCATTTAGCGTAATTGAAAAGTGTTAATACTCTATTTTATCCTCTTCCATTGGTATCACTTCAAGGGTAAAAACATTTTAAGGTTAAAATGCATCTTGTGTCTTTAATTGAATGTTATTACCTCCTGATTGTACCATGTTGAAGCTGTTTAATTGCAAACCTGGAAAATTAATTACCATATTGAGAACCAGATCCCAAGGGTTAGAAAGTCCTTTTTTGACAAATAAATGCAACATAAAAATTGATACCTACATGGTTTGTAGTCAAACCTTGAAACATAACTCAAAGTGATTCATTATAACCATTATGTTAATCTTAATTGAGCATCATTTAAGTGTTAGCATCAGGTTAGTGTTACCATCTCAATATAGAACTTGGCAGATTTTGCCATGAGACGTCAAAGAATAGGTGAGTTTCCATTTCTTCATTAAAATCTGGACGATGGCATTTGGCTGAATTAAAGCATTGTCCACTGAAAATGCTTGACTTTTCACCTTTATGTGCTTGTTAAAAAGTTGTTGCCTGGATTTGCAATGCTTAATTCTGCTTTTACTCAAGCACTACAGTTTGCAGCACCGCTCTTAACACTTAGAGTAATGTTATGTAGTCACGTTAGCCCACTAACCCACTAATTGCAGGGCATTTTTAATTCTGAATCTATTTCTTCACACTATGTTTCTGAGCATAATCTTGAAAAGAGGGGAGTTCCTGTGTAATTTCTTCTGCACTCTTATGACTGAACAACTGGTCCTTTTTGTTTGGTAGCATGGTCCCCACAGTCTAACAGCCCTTCACCAATAAAATGTGCCAGGACAGGCCATCTGTACACTTTAAGCTCTCTGGATTAAATTGAGATAAATCCAGAGAAACATCTGGATTTACACCTAAGGTGACTCTTGTTCTGCTGTTTGCAACCCAGCATGCTCAGATGAATAAACCTGCAGCTAGTTAAACCGAGTCAGGTTGTAAAAGCATTAAAATAATGGTCTGTGCTGTAACTTAGGACAAACTGTAACCCGTAGTTATCTGATTCTTTTAAGGAAGATTCGTGAGACTAATCAGCTCCTACTGAAGTGTAGAATATTCTCTGGGATGTGATACTCGTGTCTCAGAAGAAAATATTGTTAAGAACAAACAAGTCCATACTGAAGATAAAAAGAAGGCTAGTCTTACATTTTTAATGAAGGAGATTTGGCGTCTTTTTCTTCTTGAGTGTTTGGAGCTTGGCCCTACACTATCTTTCATTTTGTTTCCTTTACTACTTGTATAATGAGTGAAAAAGGAAGTGAAGCTCTGCTGTATCAAAATTCTCTGTTTTCTCATAAAATTTACTTTTTGTACTTCTTCATTCAATAGGTATTTGTGCCAGGAACAGATTATTATGGAAGTTTCAAGACAGTTTAGAAAACCGGGCAACTTCTTTAAGACCCCTTTAGCCCTACAGCCTAAAATTGTTTCAGAATGTTCACACTTTTTTTTTTTTTTTTTTTTTTTTTTTCCCTAGTTGAATCTGACATTTACTGACTGGATGTTATATTTTGAGGAAAAAAATTGTGTGAAAAATTTCTCAGAAAATTGATATGGAATAGGGGCAAAGGGTAAGACTCATCATATGGTAACAAGTAGTCTATTAAGTTAATACAATTATAAAGATACTTAGAGTGTGAGACCTCTCTCTAATGTTGAAATCAGAGATAAATATGTGAGTTTTACTTTAAAGAAGAATTTTTTGAAATCCAAGTTTTTGGCTTGCCAGTTCCTAATAATTTTGTTGTAAAACATTGAGGTCTACTACAGAAGTAGCAGATTTGCAGAAAATTCATTTAGTATCCTACTCTATACTTTGAGGTTTCCTTTTTAGTTTGTACAGATAGGCTTAAAAGTTAGTAGATAGTCATTATAACACAGCAGAGGAACAGAGTCACGGTAGTGACTGAGAGCTTATCATAGCGTGGTAACAATGTTTTGAGATATTTCTGACACAACAATTGCAAATTTTGTACGGCAGGCTTGTTGAGTTGGTATTAAAGTCAGGGCCTTTTTGTTCGGAATTTGTGAATTCATTATTACTGTTTAATTTGTCTCTGTTTTTTTTTCACATTAGGCAATACTACCAACATTTCCATATACATTGCTCCTCTTTTTCCATCCTCTATTTACATAAAGAGCTTCTCTAGACAGTTTAACTTTTTCTTTGTGAACACAACCCTCACCACTAAAACCTTTTCAGTCTTTTTCTGTATTATTGATTCATTCAATCCTTCATCATATTCAATGACTGTAACATCCATTTTAGTTATTCTTATTGACAGCTCTCTTTTCCTCAGTCCAACCCAAAGGCAAAAGCTAATCTTCCTGTTCTGTGCTTACTGGTGTCCTATCCTATATATATATGTATATATATTTTTTTTTTCTTGATGATTTCTACATCAGATTTATGCCCTTCTTCTTCACCCTCAAGGCTCCATGCAGTTTTCCTGCTTTGGTATATCTCAGTTTGAATTTCCTTTTACATCTCCTTTAAGCTCTATCATCCTCTGCCAGCTTCTCCTACTTTATGATCTGTTTTCTATCTTCCCAGCTTTACTTCTGTGCCATGCTCTTACTTTCTACTTTGCTTAGAACATATTCACTGCTAAACTATACCCCTTTGCTCCCTTTGCTCAATTATTTTTGCTAGTTGTATAATGTTTACTGCAGTATTATATCCTCCTGCTGTGATAGCCAGCTAAGTGTTATATTATTAAAATTATTAATTCAGAATGATGATAAATGTATAACAAATACAGATCACTCAAGTGTGATTGTTAGAAATTTTCTCTTTGCCTAAGTAGCCAGCTAGAAAGCACCACTGTGTATTGTGAAAGGGCTGTTTCTGATTTGAACTGCAAAGCAGGAGAGCTAGCTCTGTATATTCATAATTTCAAAACCACCCACGCTTAATTTTTCTTTTGATTGATATAAAGAGATTTATATCCCTGGACAGCAGGTCAAGGGGAGGTGATCCTCCCCCTCTACTCTGCCTTGGTAAAGTCTCATCTGGAGTACTGTGTCCAGTTCTGGGCTCCCCTGTACAAAAAAGACAGGGATCTCTTGGGAAGAATCCAGTGGAGGGCCACAAAGATGGTGAAG